GGGGACTACTTAATTGTGCCTATGGTACCCTAAAGGTAGTAATTTTAATCTAGTGGGATATGCTGACGCTGATTATGCAGGTTTCCTAGTGGATTGGAAGAGCACCTTAGGTATGGCACACTTCCTTGTTCATGTCTTGTGTCATGGGCTACTAAAAAGCAAAATTCAGTGGCCTTATCTACTGCTGAAGCTAAGTATGTTGCTGCTGCTTCATGATTGTGCTCAATTGTTGTGGAACAAGCAGCAGTTGATGGATTTTGGTATTGAAGTTGGTTGCATCCCTATTTTTTGTGATAACACTAGTGCTATTAGTATGACTAAGAATCCGGTTCATCATAAGAGAACTAAGCACATAGATGTTAGACACCATTTTTTGAGGGACAACTATGAGAAAGGCTTGATCACTATGGAGTTTTGTGCTACTGACAAGCAAATTGCTGACATCTTCACAAAAGCCTTAAGTAGAGATCACTTTGAGAGGAACAGGTTGGAATTAGGGATGATTAAGATCACCTAAAAGGACCAGTTCAAGGTTAAACGAAAAAAAATGAAAAAAAATTGAAAAACAAATTTTGGTTAGAAAGTCAATAAATTGTATAATTAGATTAAATCTTTCTCAGTCTCATACTTTCCATAGTATACTCTTGTGCCATGTTCTAAAATGACTCATTAATCTCTAATGATATTTTCTCTATTTTGGCAAATTTAGACTTACACAAGAGAATTTTCAGTGAAGAACCTGGTTCATCAAGATAACACGGTATGTTTTCTACACTCTGCATAATTTGAAATAACTATATTTGGATCATGAGCAGTGTCCTACCAAATACCAAACTCCTTTTGGACTTATCCGTTACAAGTGAACCAGTCTCATTCAAAAGAGTCCCAACCGAATGGAAGTACCTAGATTCTAGGGATACACTCCAATGTCTCTTCAAAGTTGAATTTCAGTTTGATTAAAACTTCTAAGAGTCTGAAAAGCTGTAGTTACCCCATCAATTATTCCCCTGTATATTGATCAGCTTTAGTGTATTCCTTACTTCATCTCTCTCAAGCCGTCAAAAACTCTCATTCTTCTTTCATCTTCCAAACACAATCTAATTCTCTTCTCTTCCATACCCTAGCCCAGATATGTCGAACACCTCTGAAAATCCTTCATCACCACCACAGGAAACCACCTCCACACCTTCTACAACACCAATCTCTAAGAAAAGTAGAGTAAAGATGATGGCTCGTTTGATTTTCGCTGAAAGAGAGCAGATCAAGAAAATAAACAAGCAATTGAAAGCAGGTAGGGAAGAAGAATCCTAGAAATCTGAAAATTCATTTAAGTCTGCTACTAAGGGGGAAGAAATTAGGTATTCCGAAACTGAACAGGTATCTTCTGATTCTAAAGTTACTCCTGAGACAATTTTTGAAGTTGCTGCAAATTTAGAGAATAGATTTGTACTGGTAGGATCTATAGAAGGTGTTGAGACTACAGAATCTGGAGAAGTTGGTGGTAATAATAAAAAAAAGGAAAAAGAAAAAGAGAGCAAGGGTGCTAGGAGTGCTGTGAGGGTAAAGGGTAAAAGAGTGGTTGATTCTTCACCCACTCCTGTTGGTCGAACAAAAGAAACTGGTGCAATGGTTGTTTGGAGAGAGGAATTTACTGAAATAGAAGAGAGTGTGAGCAAAACAGGGGTAAGTGGGAAGCTGTTGAGGGGTAGGTTCAACTTGAGAAATATAGATGAACCTGTTCCATCTGAACAGGAAACCCTCTTGGACCTACTGATAGGGTTATCAATGGCGCCAAAACTCATGCCATTCCCTATGATTTCATTCTCACAACTGTGCTTGCACATTTCAAGGTACCAATGAAGAAGTGGGGTTAATACTCTGCTTGCTTGCGATTATGAGGTCAATGCCATTCCCAATGAACCTGGTTCATCTAAAAGGACACCTATCAATAACAAGGTCAGAGCTCTATTACAGGAGGGTGAGGCAAAGGATGTTGAGATAGCAAGGCTAAAGACACGATTGGTTGAGGTAGAATCTGAGAGAGATGTTCTCAGAACTGAACTTGCAAAGGAAAATGAGAAGAATGATGGAATTCTTCAAGACATGCTGAAACTTCTCCAAGCAAATAACCCAGCCCCTACCTCTTGCAAGCCTTAAATCTTAGCCTAGTGCAGATCAACCAGTGACCCAATTCGAGACCTTTTGTTTCTTTTGCTCATGTTTTCAGTATTTTTATTTCTTCTTATGCTTTGTGGTAGAATCTTATCAATCATCAATGAAATTCACTGTCTTTTGCTCTAATTGTTTGTTCATATTTCTTTGATGGTTAAAATTCTTAGCTTGATCTATGATGATTAATCCATGTTTGCATTTGAAGTAGCCCCAGTGGCCATGAGTAAGCTTTAAAATCTGGTTATCTCACATTTTTTATGCAACTTTTCGATGATGCCAAAAGGGGGAAAAATGTTGTGCTTTAAACAAGTAATGTTTAGACTTTGAACAATGATGTTTATAACCTAATGTACCTGGTCCTTGATGATAAGTGATAAAAAGGAAAAATATTTCTAACATTGTGTTGATGTTGAGCCGAGTTTTGGCAGGGCCTAAGTGTATGAAAAGCACTGAGTTTGTCATCATAAAAAAGGGGGAATTTGTTGGCCCAAGTAAAGGTTAGTTTTGAAGACTGACAAAGGAACTCAGGATGAACCAGGTCCATCACTCAGGTGCACAAAAACGGGCAGATTCAAGCATGTGGGTTGCACGTGAAGGAGATAAGCTTAACTTGGTGTATTTAATATCTCCTAATCGAAAAGGTTGCATAATTGATAAGGAGAAGGAGTCCTTAAAATCAAAGAGAACACAATTCAAGATAGGGAAGGAGTTAGAAGTTGAAATCAACTAGAACTCTTCCACCAAGGAAGAGTTGCATCAGAACTCTAGTTATTTCTTCATCTACTAACTCTATAAATTGCAGGATGTTCTCACATTAAAGTGTTGCACAAAAACGCATAAGTTAAACGTGAATTGAGAGCAAAATAGCAAGGCTTTTTGCAAGCAGTTCGCGTGTGATTCAAGTGTGCAAACCTGAAGCTACATGAACCATATTGAAGAACCAGCTCCATAAAGAGTTTTATGTGTCTTTCTTTATTTCTAGTTCAATTGTAGTAGGTGTTTCATATTGTACCTTTCAGCTTTATCTAGAAGCAATTATAATAGGTATTTTGAGTATTCAAGTTAGAGTTAACTTGAAGTTGTCGCAGCAGTTAGAGGCTGGTTGCTACAACGGGATTAAAGTTAATCCTTAGGTTTACAAAGAGTTTTGTAAATGCTGTTTTGGCTCAGTGATTTTAGTGGAAGTTTGGGAAAATCCTACTGAGTAGTAGGTCTTGGTTTTTTCACCTTTTGAGCCAGGTGTTTTCCACGTAAAAATCTCTGTATTCTTTATTTTCTGTATTTATTATTCCGCAAACAACAGTAGTTAGTACATCTAGAAGAACCAGGTTCTTCTAGAGCGAAAATTGGGTACCACACAAATCACACCCCCCCTCTTGTGTGGTATTGACATTTAGAACATCATTAAACCCGGTCAACAATTTATCAAATTCAACTTGATAGTCCTTAACACTGCCAGTCTGATGCAAATTCTGTAAGGCTTCCATATGATCTTCAAAACCTTCACCAAACCTTTCATTCATGGCTAACACATACTAAGTCCATGTAGGATCTAAAACCGAAGCCCTAGATTTCACATACGACCTATGCCAAGCAATAACTTCTCCATCAAAATAAATAGAAGCCACTTTAACCCTCTGATCAAAAGCTACTTCATCCATAAAAAAGAATTGGTCGACTTTGTACAACCAAGTCTTCAAATCATTACCAGAAAATTGGGGAAATTCCAGCTTAGAGTGTCGAGTGAAAAAGTTACCATTAGAAGTCGTACCTTGATGAACTTCTCTGATTCTTCCTTCTTACGGAATCTTCATTGAACCAGCTCGACCAATAGCAGGTTTTGCCCTAACTGGCTCTTTCTCCTTCCCTTTTTGATTCATAGCTCCAATAGTTTCCTTCAATTCAAGTAGTTCCTTATCAGTTTGTACATTATGCTCATTCAAAATCATCGTTCCATCCATCAACTTCTGCAATTGATCTTGATTAGCTGTTAATTTGTCTTCCATTTTTTCAACAGGTTTCTTTGTGTTTTTGCTGCGAGTCATGATCGAAGATGCCAAGGACAGAAATCTCTGATACCAATTGATGCAATGTAGCAGAATCTAACGAGTATAGTCAATCTAGGAGCTCAAGCTCGAAGAAGGTGACAGTTATATCAGGATTTATCGAGAAAATAGCTCAATGAGAAGATGAATTTAGAAAGAATAGAAATGTATTATCTTCAAAAGTGATTCATCAACTACATGTATATCAACTATATATGCTCAGCTGAAGATTCTAGAAGATTGTTATTAGCTAACAACTTGTAACTAACTCTAACCGGCTGTAACTAATATAACTAACTAACTCTAACCGGTTGTAACTAATATAATTAATTGTTGCCACGTCAGCCGCCAACCAAGCTTCACTGTTACTGCATTTCAGTTCTTAACTCGATTTCTTCTCTTTAGTTGCTTAATTTATTCTCCTTGGTTGCTTGCCTCCTTTGCTTGTATAAAGAAGGGCCGGGGGAAAATAGCTCTTAGGGGTCGTTTGGTCCATGGGATAAGGATAATAATCCCGGGATAAAGTTTGGGATTAGCTTTGTCCTATATTTGGTTTGGGATATTATCTAATCGGGTAATAACTTTTACACTAAAATGGTGTGATTAGCTATCTCATGTACCCACCATTATACCAAACAACCCCTTAATTTGTTCAGCCCATTTTGTAGTTGGGCATAAGTCGCTTTTCAACGGCGACTATTATGTTGACTATTGCGACATATACGTTGCATTTGAGCTACACTTTAATCGCATTACCTATTGCGAATTATATAGAGCAACTTACGTTCAGTTGATGCCACTTATAAATCGTCAATAAAAACGCATTGAATGCGCCTTTCTATAAATATCACTTTCTATAAAATTCATTATATTTTTTATAAATGCATTTTATTTTTAAAAAGTGCACATTTTGGGCAATTTTTTTGAAACGTCTCTCTCTCTCTCTTCCCTGCTGCGTCGAACACTTACTTCTCCGGCACTCGCCGCCGACCACCATTTTCCACCGGAAACGGTTTGTTTTCTGTTCTCTTATTTATTTCTCTACTCCTTCTGTTAGTTCGTCTCATTTAGTTTTGCTAGCAAAAACACTGAGCCTACATTTTTGTTTATATACTAGGGTAAAAATGTTGCCCTTTTTCAATTTTTGAAGTGGATTTTGAAAATTCACTTAAGTTTTTCTATTTTCTGAGTCAAATTAGTAATTTTCTTGATTTCTACCACTGTTGAGTGACCAGAGTCAGTTGTTAAGATTATAAAATTTTCTGTTTTTGCGTTGTTTCAAATTGGATTGAGTATTAAGAGTTTGTTTTGCTTGCAATTCCTTAAGATGTGTTTTAGTTTTTTCTTTAAATATTTTTTCTCTTCCCAATTTTTCTTTTAGATTTTGATTTTTTAATCTTGTTTACATTTGTTGTGATGTTTTAAAACTGACTACAATTCTTCTAAATTTGTTTCAAATTACTTATCTTTAAATTTGTTTACATTTGGTTCTGATGTACTCTAGCTTGATTTTTATATAATTAAATGTTGTTGTATTTTTATAGAATTGTATTAATATGCCTGATTCAATTTTGGTCAAAATTAACCTTTAATAAGTGAAAAGGGATTAACAAATTGGGATGGAAGAAGTAATTTATTAGTGTTTTCTATCTAAATGACAATAATAAGCATGTATGCATGTTCGGTCGAACCCAATAACTTTTGCTGTATTTGTAAAATTAAATTTAGAACCCAGCTTTTAGCACTTTTGTCTTCGTTCTGAAATTTGGAACCCATAAAGTTGAGATTGTGTCTCCGCCTCTGCTTGCTGCGTGAACTTAAAATTGATAATAATATATTGAACTCTCTCCTTGCCTATTTTCCAAGTTTTTACAATGTTTTGACTGTTTTCTTTCCTTTTCTTCTCTCTTTTTTCTCTCTCGTTATTTTACATTTCTAAACATTCTTTTTAATTATAGTAACTGTCCATGTATTTACTCTTTGTGATATTAAAACTGACCCAGTGGTCATTTCTGGATGCTAGGTGCAATGCTAACATAACTTGGAAGATCAATAATTGGCTAAACGATCATTTTCTAAGATCAGCTTTTCTTAGGTATCCTGAAGAAATACTTAGTGTGCAGGTACTTTTGATATATTTTTTTTTTTTTGGAGAATGTTTGGTAAATATGTTGCAGCTCGCAGAACTGGATATTTCAAAATGTTGTCAAATTTGAGACATTGTGACAAAATTTAAGCTGGTCTTTGGATTTTCTATCACGTGAGAAAAGGATGTGAAAGAGAGTTTGGAACAGTGTTGTCAAAGGCGCGCTTAAAGCGCGCTTAAGCCCTGAAGCGAGGCTCAAAACACGTTGAGCGCTTCGCCTCGCTTTGTGGGCGCTTTAGTGTCGCATCAAAGCTCTAACACATACTTTTCCTTGCCAATGAGTGTAATCCTGAAAAGGCGACCTTAAACAATTGATATTTCACTTTATCCTGAATTTTTTTCTTAATTTCTTTGTCCATATGTTTGTTATTCATGCTTATAATGATTATTCTTGGACTACTGTGCATATTTTTACTTTTTCTCCCGTTGCGCCTTTTTTCATTAAAGCCCACGCTTTATTTGCGCTTTGCGCTTAAAGCCCCAACGGACCTTAGAGCTTTTTTGCGCTTTTCGCCTTTGATAACACTAGTTTGGAATGCATCGAGTATTTTCTATCACACGAGAATAGGACGTAAAAGAGAGTTTGGAATACATTGAGGACAATTCTGCATGCTTCATTAATATACTACCTACTTGAAGAAACACTTCAACTCCTGAATCTATATGTGTTTTTTTCTTTTTTCTTTTTGGCTAAAGTATGAAGTCCTTAATCTTTTTATCCAGTTCATGAGTGTTGCTGATAACCTCATAATCTTTTATCCATTTGATCAAGTCCACCTTGCTTCAGGTCTGCAGTAATCCAAACTGCAAATGCATTACACAGTTATCTTAATGTCATTTAAGGCTACTCATGGTTCTGAGAAATAGTTTTTTTGTGGATTTGTGCAATAAAAGCTAATAGTTCAAATCCTAGGAAAACTCAATCATACTAGCACCACAAATTGGAAACACGCATGGCAAAGAGCATGATTACCACCAATCTGTAATAGTATATGCTTTGGTTTGTGAGCTTTGATTTTGGCCATACTTTCAGTAAGAGATTTTTTATATAGCGTTTTCTACACTTTATATTGTCTTCCTTGCTTCCTAACTGATTCATTTGTTTTTGCCCTTATAGGCTATAGCAACTGGTTTTTGCTACTACTGAATGATTGAACCCATGCCTGCTATGAAGAAGGTCGAGATTCTTTTTTATTCTATCTTATTTCTTTATTCAGCATAACATTTACGTCAATTTTCCTTGCAAAGAGTTACCCCACGTAAATGGGGTCTGCAGGTTATTTTGACCTTTGAGTATTTCCGCATGTTTATTCATGACCCTGTATTTCTTTTCCTATTTATTGGAAAGATGTAGGTACTAATAGCTTCCTTAATTGATTCAGAAAGGGGGAAATCAGCACTTTACTGTAAATAAATTCTCTTCTAATATACCTAAAGCAAAGTAAAGAGGCCATCCAAGTAAATTTTTCTCACATAAAAGGGGGTTAACACTTTGCGGGTTCTAAGTTTAAGTTACATAGCAGCGCGCCAACACCTTCGTATATGTGAAATGGAATAGTCCTTTTTACTATATAAAATTACTGCTTCGATTTTAAATGGGATAATCCTTTTAAGCTTATTCCTTTGATTAGGATCCTTTCTAAAGTAATTAATCAGACCGTTATATATTCTTGCATCTGACCCAGCATAGACTCTTTCATCTTGCTGTCTGCTGTCCTTGTCTGCACAGGTCATTTGCTGTTGGACACAAATGTTGTCCCTAATAAGGAGAGTTTTTGATAGAATTTCTTTTAAGATTTTTTTTGTTCAACTATTCTTTTAGTGGCACAGCCTAACTAGAAGTATCCACTGTATAGTTGCTGTTTTCGTTTTTCTTTTGCCTGGATTATTCCTTTACTTGAAAAATTAGTATTTTGTAGTTTAGCAAGGATAAAAGCAGAGTAGCGTAATGGAAAGAAACGTGTCAGCTAAAAAGCCTATGAGAATTCTGATATGTTATTCTTATATGATTGTTACGGAGATTCTCTTATGAAGTCTCTGTGTGTGTGTGTGTGTATGTTTGCTATATCAGCTTGTTAATATGCAATTTATTTTCCTTTCTGCACAGAGTGCTGTCCATGGTGGGATTGGGCATGTATTCAACAAATTGACAAGCGAAATTGGAGATCCTGTTGACTTTGAACTTCCAGATTGGTTGAATAAATGGCAACCCACACCCTTTACCTATATAAAGCGTAGTATCCTTCAATAGAATTAATTATGATAGATCTATTTGATGCACTTTAAAAGTTTGATAGTATATTTTCTAATTAAACATCTCTTAATCCTATATACTGATTGATAAGATAATTGCCTCGGTCTTCTGTTTGATGTGCATTGTTTCTTATCTTTGTATAGCTTCCTTCAACATTTCTCTGTTTTTAGTTGTGTCAGTATTAACTATTTGTAAGATATATACCTCACCAAGAAGGTTAAGCGGCGGCTGGAAGATGATGGCATATTTTGTTCCTGCAGTTCAACAGCAGGATCTTCGGACGTGTGCGGCAGGGATTGTCTGTGTAGGTAAGGATGACTCAAATTAAAATTCATTTAGAAGTCCGAACTTTGATAGACTTAAATATATTTTTTGGAAATTACATCCCCATGACCTGCATAAATTTGTTAATTGGGAGCTCTTACATGGTTCTAGCTGACAATTTTCTGCACTGCATGCATTCCTCTTCCTTTCTAGATAAAGTTAATAGACTCTATATAGAAGTACTCGCGGCCTAATATGCCAGTAACACGTTCTGCTGATATTCTTGCAATGGATTTGATATGTCTGCGCTTTTTGTTTGTAATTTCTACAGCACCAAAAATATTATAAAAACAGAAAAGGAAAAGGGTGGTAGTTCACTAGGTTGTTTCGTTCCATCCATGTGGGTAATCTAGCTTTGACATTTTACTTATAAATTCTGAGAAAGAAGTTTCATTGGTTAAGTGGAGCCCAATAATTAGACACAAGGAAGATGGAAGCTTTAGAGTTAGGAAATTATAAGTTCATAACTAAAGTTTGCTGCGCAAATGGCAAGGTAGCACCTTGGAAATCTGTCATTGAGATCAAATATGGAAGAGAGGGGTTTGGGCTCCTAAGGCAGTGAAAACACCCTATGGAGATGCTGTTTAGAAACAGATAGTTTCTGGGAGATTTCAGCAAGATGTTAGCATTATAGATGGAAATGGGCAAAGTGTTAGGATGTGGAAAGACAATGGCGATGGTATTGGACTGCTAAAAGAGCAATTTCCTTGCCTTCACAGTGTGGTGAATAATACTAATGTATTTAAGGGAAAAGGGTCAAATATAGGCCTCTACTTTCGAATATTTTCTACATTTAACCTCCGTTATACTATCCGGCCAAATTTACCCCTACTGTCATACTATGTGGCCAAATTTGTCCCTATCATTAGCAAACATTTAAAAATTAGGGGAAAAAACGTAAATAGCCAGCCCACTATCTTTTACAACTTTTCCTAGCCATAAAGTTTTATTAAAAATAACCCTAAAATAGTGTAGCCATATAGCTTCAGATAAAAATCCCTGAATAGCAGAAAATAAGGTGAGATGATTGTTCTTCTCTTCTTTCTGTCTCGTTCCTTTCTTCACAATTTAGAGAAACCCTAACAATGGAGTTTTTTACAAACAAACAAAACATCCCTACACAAATCACAATGATGTCAGTCTAAACCCATTATTTCTGTCACATATATATATATATATATATATATATATATATATATATATATACACACACACACACACAATATGTATAAATACCGTATTTTCATAGTTCATTACACATTACGCACGGAGTATACAGTGCATGTTTGATGTATAATCATTGAAAATCTATGTATAATTAACATATATACATTACACACTCACTATATACTGAGTTCTACAATAATTATACATCGAACATCAACGAACACCTCCATATCTTTCCTTTCTTCTTCCATTAAAATCAACAAGACCACACCATTTTCATTCTCCTGAATCATAATTTCCCTGTAAAGTATTTTCTTCTCACTTAGCCCATCCGCCCATAACAGTGCGCCTTACCTTTTTCGGACCATGTTAATATCTTAATCAATTTATAGAAATAGAAATCTCACTTTAACGAGAAGAGAAGCTTAACTTTAATCGGTGAGATTGAGCGAGAACAAAGGGAATGCAGGGAGAGAGAAATCGAAATTATTTACTTTGTATAATATCAGATGGGTACCGTATCCCTTATAATCCCTAAAATTAAGTGATTTCAAATCACAATTCCTACATTTAGGATTAGCTTAACTGGCTAAAAACAGTAAAAAAGATATGTATAGTGTTTAAAATGAGTTATAAAAATAAAATAGGTTTATCTATATATATATTAAAGCAAGAAAGTTACTATATATAATTGACATTATGGTTAAGCCAAGTGGCAAGCTAATAAATGTCAATAGTATATGGTAACTTTATTCTATATTTGACTATTTTAGTTAAATACAAATATAATATAATATATATATATATATATGGAATTTGAATTAAAAGATAATTTTGAATTTATAGATAAAGTTCTAAAATTCGAATTTAAATTAAAAATAAAATTTATCTTTTTTTTATCATGTTATCATACTTAGTTCGGTTAATGATCATATGCAATCATGTTAGGAACTTTTGTTATTTTTTCTAATTATTTATACTACTACGCCTCTAGCAAAAAAAAAAAAACTACTTCATATAACTATAAAACTCTTTCGCATTTAAAATCCTATAAGTATAGTTCTTTGAAACACTGTAGCTAGATTTGAATAAAACGAAATTCTTTTAAAATAAATGCAATATATAGGGTACACGTCTATGTTTATCTAAATAACAAAAAAGAGTTTACAAAACCAAATAAAAGCTTGCTTACATATATAATAAAGTAAGCATACATGCTGGAGAAAGAAACATCACAAAATCAGTCAATATTAAAAAAAAGTTGTTTCTTTTTTCTTCTTGAAGAATATTTTTTGAAGAGTCAATTTGCATAACTGGTGTCACGATCCGGATTTTCCCACCATCGGAGTCGTGATGGCGCCTACTCGTGGTAGCTAGGCAAGCCAACTTATTTACCTTCCCATCACTAAGCAATTATTTTTAACAGTTTATAGCATCAATGTAGAACATGAAATTTAATAATAATAATA